ATTTAATTTTATTATTAATTTTATAATTGTTTTATAAATACTTTTATAATTTAATTTCCAATATATTTAATTTCATTGATTATAATTGGAAATTCTCAGTATATACATATCTTCTCCTCCTTATAAAAAATGCAATCACATGTTTGAAATATCGCAATTATACAATATTATCACCTTCGTGAAGTAATGAACACCGGCAAATTCCAAAAGGGTAGCGATGCAATAACCGAAACTCATCAAGAGAAACCAATCTAAAGCAGTAGCATATCTAACTTTCGGTAAATCCGTTCTGGAATCGAGGCTTATCGTTGATAACGTCAAGACGGTAGTGATACCTGCAAAATTTATAATACAGTCTTATCCATGACTGAGAATCTTCTATTAAACGCTGTAGGTATATAGTGAAGAACCTATATCAAATAATAATAAAAATAAATTTACAATTTCTTTTATTATAAGCAAAAGAAAAATGATGCAAATATGAATAAAAAATAATTATATCAAATATATAAATCATATCTATGATTTCTTCAAATATCTGCATTGAAAGAAAGTTAAAAGATTTCAAAACTTAGGGCCATGATTTAATTAATTAATATAATCTTTGACAAAATTTTTAACTTTATATTATATATAAAAAATACAGAAAAATATATTATATATTTTAGACATAAAAGAATAAACTTGTGAGATAATTACATATATCGCTAGAAATTAAAAAGAAAAAAAGTTTTAAGGATTGATTTTTGAAAGAACATACCTAAACCTACTCGATCGCTTGTTGCTTCACGATGAATCCAAAAAGATACCCAACTTAATACAACTATCAAAACACATGGTACATAAACCTGTCAATGCATAATAAAATCTTTTTATTTTTATATATACTTTATTACGTCCTGATTGTTTTAAATATTTATAATAACCATTACATTTTTGTAGCGCGTGCTTACTTGTATAAGAAAGTATCCGGTATGCCGTTGCAAATTGAAAGATACTTGTAATACCGAGAACTCGCCTTCGCGACGAACAAATGTGAGATTTCTATACGGCGAGCCCATTAAATCGAATTGCGAAAGTGCCATTCCAGGCACAAAGTTCACCGATGAACCTTCTTGCCATTCATAAATCAACTGTCCCGATGTGTATGCATCTAATAAATATAGGTGTGTAACAATATTATGAGAAAAATTTCAGTGAATATATGTAGAGAGAGAGAGAGAGAGACCAAAATAAGCCTTCAAGCATTATTCGCTACGATACTTGAAGTATATTATTTATTTTAAAATTTATTCTCTGCGAAGCAATTAATTTCGATCTTTACTCAAATCTTCCTCTTTTAGCTAACGAAACTTATTCCAATGAAATACATAGAAATATATCAAAATCAAAGATATGTGTATCTACTTTAATGATATCTAAAGGATATCATTACATAGAAATATTCCATTATAATATTTTTTAAATATTTTATAAACAAAGAATCTAATCATAATTATAACTATATATGATATTCTATGTTTACCCCTGGATTATATATCAATCTTGGACAATGAAAATCCTTCGAGATATACTCGCTGAATATATCCTTGTATAACATTTTGTTCAGAAATTTTTTCGCTATTCGAATAAATTTTAAATCACGCCCTTTGATTTGAAAAAAGTTCGACGCACTTATGATAGTAAATTCTGATATTACATCGCATAATGGGCCTCGGTGCCAGCTGTTGTGACAGAAGGTGGACCATCAGAGGCACCGTAAAGCCGAAATGTAAAGGAATATCGAATTTATTGCAATCGTAACTTCGGCGTGGATAATTCCGAACACTCACCGAAGGATAATATCGGTGAACGTTATGTGAGGAGCAACATAACGTGAGACGTGTGATAGGATACGAGTAAAGTGTTATTTGTCTCAGTTTCATTATGTTTCCATCAAGTTCAGATTCAATTTAATGACAAAGCATAAAAATATTTTGTGTTTTCCAAGCATTTCTGCAAATTGCAACTTAAAAAGGAAAAGCCACGATATTATCGATCAGAAGAACCTCGTCTGATAAAATTTTTTTATTCTATAAAATTAAAAATTTTTCTTCAAACACACACTAATTTTTTAGTAACTGTAATATACTATTTTCTCAAAATGCTACGTATATGCTAAGTAGTTATTTTGTTTGAGAAATTGATACGTACAGCTTCCCATTATTAATGGGCAAGATTGTCGATCCATAGGGAAATTCCTCAACTCCATGGGACATTTAGCCTTGATAGTAAGCCTGTGTGCATATATTACGAGACAATATTTTTAAAAAGCAGATAAAAGAAATTTCACGACATTGATATATAACAATTTGTATTGTATGCAATTTTTCACATATTATTATAATTCCATCATATTATATAAAATTGGACAGTATTTATATTTAGAAATTTGCACCTCTCTGATTTTTTTTATTATTTAATTTTATATTATTATTTCCTCATCGTATTGTATAGATGTGCTTTTCTAGAACAAAAAATTTAATTTATCTATTATAATTACTTTCAGAGCAAAAAAATCATTACCACGATATTTTTCGCGGAAAAATATATGTATTGTCGAGTTTATAATTAAATTTTTCTATATGTCGATCGCGCAGATGCAACGATGCAGAGAAAGTACAAAAATATCTAGCTAGAATTGGCGAAATCGCGCGAATTGATATCTGATGCGTAAATTCACGCGCGAACAGACCTCATGGAGTACAATATATCGCCGTCCTGGGAGATCCTTAACAATTTGTTCGGCACGGTAATCGTATGCACGTAACTATGCTTGCCATTGTAAAAGTAAGTATCAGGACGCCAGATCCTTTCGAGCATTTTAATGCTGAGACTGAGAGATTTGATTGGGCCCAGAAAACTCAAACGTGAATCACGCCATGATTGGCGGAAGTAGCAGTCCATCGAATAATCCTGGCGGAATAATTTTCAAGCGATACTACATTAGATTCGCTATCGGATAGGGATTTGGATTGTTTATTGGATTATCGATTAGAAAGAATGGAATACATGCATCAAAAAGTGACCGATTAAAAATAAAAAATTGTTACATAATCTAATTTTTATAATAAATAAATATGTATCTCTCAGATATGTGTGTGTGTTGCATCTCTCACAAGTTTTCAAATTAATAATGAAAAAAGAATGTTAAAATGATGAAATTACCTAACAATCATTAGTTGCAGTAAATAATTAATCTTCATTTTGTAAATACATAATAATTACACACAAATATTATGGAACATTACATACTTATACTATTTTATATGTAATTGGTTAAAAAAGATAAAGCAAATTTATTGCCATAGCTTTCCTAATGAAAAATTTCGAAACTCACCATATCTAGCTCGGATACTGGACCCATACTCCTAATTAGGATATTGGTTTTCACTATCGTGGGTATGCCTGAAAAAATACGATATATATATATGATATGACTAATATCAAAATTTTGACATGCAACTTCATAATTTATAAAATGTCAATATATAATTTTTCAAAAGAGCTTTAATTTGCAACTCTGACGATTATCATTAATCTGTGGCACTGTATATACTACTTATTGATCGGCAATTAATGCGGTTAGATCATATCAGATTATCTTCTTGGACTCTTTGGAATTCAATTATTCTCCGATATTATTTTCCGTTGTGCGAGATTGCGATTAGCGCAAGTATAGGACATAATGCATAATGAAATGCAGTTTCAATGTTCTAGCGACCGCAGCACAACATTGTTCGTCACATTAATATCGTAATATTAATATCAATAATGGATATATGTGTATGCTTTTCTTATATTCAAATGTTATTTATTAATCCAACGTTCTTTATAGAAAAAAAAAGATCTTTTGAATTTAAATATTAAATATTAACAAGGGATAAAATTTATTATGTAATATTATTATATCAATGTTAAAAATGCAATATATATACGATAAATTTTCGCGGATATATGTATATCTATTATTAACAAAAGAGACAGCAAAATGTAATAGATGAGCATAAATTTGCATTTATAAAAAAAAATTCTTTTACTTTATAAATAAATATATATTTTCTCAAAAAAACGTTCTGTATAGTTAATCTATGTCAGAAAAATATGACATTGCCCGGTCTTACTTATATGAATTATTGTATTTTTTTTAGATGAGAAATAGATTACCGAAAATTAATTGTAATTGTATAATAGAAAGGATTTCGTACCTCTTAACTTTTTTTTTTTACCTTTACCATGCGTAGGCAGTTGACTATTTTCGTAATTCATCAGCAGATTCTCGAGGACCATAGTGATGTTCTTTGAGACGATATCGTTCAAGGTGGCCCTGGGTACCCTGCTGCCGACCGTCAACATTGATTCCAACGATCCGAATGACGACGACGCAAAACCCGACGTTGCTTTGATTTCGAATGCATAATAACGATACTTGCACACAGTGAGCGACACGAGAACAATAAAGCTACACACATAAAACACAGGTACATTTATTACTTCACCAGTGACAAGATCTGTAATATTATCTTTAGAAAAAATTAAGTGATATCGCGCGCAAAATAAACAAACCGAATTTGTGTTGGATAGATTTCTGATATACGGAATTCTATTAAAAGTCACTTACATTCCCCTCTACAATGACTGACAAGTTTCTTGTAAAATTTCATATTTCATTAGGAAAATTTAATTTAACTTTGGTTTAAGGGAAATTACTTATAACGGAACTTTTGCATTTTCAAGAGAAAATACTCTGCTAATTAATAATAAAGTTATACATACATACATAAACATATACTCATATACTTTGATAAATATCTGTTTATTAAATCATATAAATTAGAAGTTTATTAGAGTAAAAAAAAATATATTTTTACTTGATTGTACAATAAAATAAATTATTATAGATATATTTATTCAAGTTTTTCATATAATTATTAATTATGTCGAAATTACAAATGAATTTAAAGATATCTATATAAACAAATAAAATATTAAATAAACAAAAATAAGATAAAATATAATTTTTTAAATATTTGAAATATACGAATCAAAACAAAATAATTGAAATAGACAGATTAGAAAGATACATCGCGTACCATGGTAATGTTTTAAAAATTGTAAATAGAGAAAATATAATATATATATATATATATGTATATATTTTAATAAGGGTTGATAATTATATTCAGCATTATAAATGAGTCCTAAATGTCGATAATTGAAATTCATTAAGCATTTAGTGGACATGAGTGCACTTTTATGATCGTGTGAATGAGATCGATCATCGTAGCTGCTCGATTTCTCCCTAAAGTTGATATTCTGTCCTATCGAGAGAAATTCATTTCAGGCCGTATCGATTACGCACGTATTTTAATCCTAAAGAGAGAACCAGTTAATATCGTCCTCATTGTCAGTTTCAAATTTTTATAATACCTTCGTTGTAATGAGAACATTTCTTTACATAATTAATACCACGTGTAGTAATACTCTTTAAATTATTCACATAAAATTTCACAAAAAATTTAATTTTATTTAATATTTCCAATTATATACATTATACAATCTAATGACATAAATCAAACGTAAACTATTTGCATCCATACTTATTCCTATTCACTTATAATATCCTTTGCTTTTAAATTATACTCCTGTTTATTTATATGCACAAACAAAAATCATCCAGTATACAAACCATAGAATATTTATATCCTATATCCATTTATCTATTTTTAATTACTTTTAAAAATATCGTGCGCCGAGTTTTTCGTCAATTTCCACTCGACGAAAGACTCAAAGCACAATATTCAAAGCTTCTCGAAATGTAACATGACATAATGATGACGTTAATGTTACAAAGATATTACAAGGAGTTATGTGAAGCACGCTCTTTCTCTTCCTCGTCTCTATTGTCCACATTCCCTGTCGTCCTTTCGACATAGCCACCGCGAAATAGCATCGTCCGCGTGCCAGAACTTTATTCTTGCAGGGGTCAGATAAACCGCAGCTCGCAACACATGCGTGAGGATATTCGTCTGCTAATTGTAAGTGTAGCAGAATCTTATTGCGCGCGATATATCTTCCGTAAACTTCATAAAGTGTTTTGCAAAGCGATATGCAAAGAAAAACTTTGCTATTGCAATATATACATAATTATAAGTGAGAAACGTGACTTAAGAGCGGTGTCTTACAAATCTTACTAAACTGAATTTTACAGATTACGCAGGCTTGAGTAATTCTATAGCTCCAAGCTTAGCATGTAGAAAGATTTAAATCCATATAACATGATTTTATCAAGTTAGGATTCAACATTATGACTCGACACTTCGTATCCGTTTTAATTTCCATCGATGAGGACTCGAAATTTCGTAATAAAGTCGCAAAAGGGGTAAACGACGAGCATCATTTGATTTAAGGTATAAAGCGAGGCTGGAATCGCGGCGGGAAGGAAAAGTGGACGAAAGTGCCTCTTGTCATTCGCCGATTCAGCAGCATCCGTCCGTGATCCACGAGGGTTCGCATCATTGTTTCGGAAGAACGTTACGCCTTGTTACATCACAATCTTGTGAGATTGTATGCGCATTTTATTCCCGATTTTCAAACGGTTCAAACTGTATAAAGTTTCGAGTGATAGCGATAGAACGTAGGCCACATTTTGTTTATCGAAATTGGAAAAACCTGTCCTATCATAAAAAATAACCATGAGGAAAGAAATTTTAATGCTCGAGAATCAATTGTCAATATAAAATAATTGCAAATAAAATAATCGAATAATTGTATCAATAAATTATCAATTAATTTTTAGTATGTAATGATTAATTGTTAACGAATAATACAATTATACAATGCGAGTCAATACAAACATAAAGTGAGAAATTCGAAGATCTACTTGTAGGACTCAAAGGCTTGTAAAAAGACACCACGACACCATAACTCAGTTTACAGTTTGATTTAAAAATTTAATTATAAAGTTTAAAGAGTTAATAAATTTTTATATTGTAAAACAAAAGAATCAAAGAAATAGGCATTATAATCTATTAAGAATAAATTTTTGTTTTTTTATGTCTTATCAAATATTATATAAACTTTATAATTTTTAAAATGCAAACCAAACAGAAAGTATTTCTTTTTCTTTGACAGTGTATTGACGTAAAAATATTATTACTTGTAAGAAATTTTGATCACGCTTTTTAATTATCTACAAAAATGTAATGTATTAAATTGAAGGGATGTCTGCATGTGTATTTTGAATATAGCATTGATTATGTAGAGAATTCACGGATAGCAAATTTTTGCAAAATTATCTCATTATCTGCGTTATTATTATAGCCTAAGCTTGGTTATTTTTGTTTTCAATAGTCTAATATTACCACATTTTTATCGTTGCAATTGTTTATCAAACACATAAAGAACTTTTTATTATTTACTATAAAATCATTATATTATTAATTCTTAAAATATCGTTATTATTTGGTTAAAACATGCAAAAGCAATTTACAATTATACTTATTGTTACAATTGGATGGCTTATGAAAAGATGTGTTTCTGGATGATCGACGTTTGTATGCATGAATAATAACTTGCTAAATATGCTCGATTAAGTTCAAAGAGTAATTAGATTTCCTATGATGGCTGCCTCAAAATCTGCTCTTCAAATATTCAGATGCTTTTCACGATCTACGCGTACGTTTATAATTGCTTAAGATGCATCTTTGAGTTTCATGCATCAGAAGCGCTGGCTTTGATATACAGCAATTTTTATTCAAGATGCAAAACGTTTGTGAATACGGAGTATAAAACAATGATTACATTAAATGAGTTAAAAGCGACCCGAATAATAAACAGTACTATAGTTTTTTTATACGGGATAGAGCATTATTCGAGAATAATTTTTCGTTTCATACGTTACCCGAGTTTTTAAAATGATCTTAATTAAAACAATTAGATGTAATTTAATAATATAGAAAAAGGCATTAAAATTATAATTAAAAATTGATGCAATTATAGTTATTTTTGACAATTTGATTTATATGTCAACATATTTTAATTATCTAACAATTCTTCGTATAATTGCAAATTGCTAATTAATTACGAAGATTGACATATTAAAAAAAAAAACGTATCATAAAAAATTGAGAGTTCTATATGTATATATTTGATAGCTCGCCTGATATAATTAAGAGTTCTATGTGATAGCGCGCTTTATATATATTTCAAATATATCATAAAATAATTAAAAATATAATTGTTTTTTATTAATTAATAATTAATAATTTTAACATTTTTTTATTTTTTATTTTAAGCGTGCAAATATGTTCACATTTTTAATATTTGCATCAATGATCTGCTTCAAGATTACTTTAAAATAAAATATAAAAGCAACGAGAAATACATGTACAAAAAAAAGAATCTTTTCGGGTGACAATATGCGCTGTTTATTATAAAATATATATAAAATAAAAATGTGTGCATTTAAGAGATGCGTGTCTTCTACAAGTGTCGTAAAGTGCAATGATCTTCGCTATGATAATTCGTCAACAATTACTCACAATGATAGTTCCTTTGGTGTCATCTTCGATATTGATTGACGATCTTTCGTTCCACTTGAAATTGTCAAAGATATTCTCGTATCTGTCGATGATGCCGATGAGTTTAACACTCGTCACGAGGTGCTACAGACCATTGCGGCGGCCGCGTGGATCTTCCTGCCGCGAACCCCCTAAGACACGGAGTTTCAAGCGGAGTCGCGACGCGCAAGCCCCGAAATCACGCCGATCGTATATATTCGCGCTTATAATCCTTTAACGCCATACGTGTTCGCGACGATCGCACGATAAACTTGCGATTTGAATAATTGGCAGTTTAATCAATTTTTAATCCTCCTCACATCTATATCGTATACCCGTATGGTTACGGGGAATAATTTCAAAGCCATAATAAACGGAAAGTTTATACTACTTATCACACACGTGCTTTTCTTGGCTTAATGATAATTTTGGGAAACTTGAAAACGAAGATTTTAATGTCGAAAATTTTCACGTTTTACATAGACTAAAGGGAAAGGATTTTTTATACTCATTAAATCTTAGTTAAATAGAAACGTTGTATTTGAAAATATCTCTCTATCTTTCTCCTTTTAACTTTATATAAGAAGTAAATATTCCGTTTTTAATATAATATATATATATATATATGTATATATTTTAATAAGGGTTGATAATTATATTCAGCATTATAAATGAGTCCTAAATGTCGATAATTGAAATTCATTAAGCATTTAGTGGACATGAGTGCACTTTTATGATCGTGTGAATGAGATCGATCATCGTAGCTGCTCGATTTCTCCCTAAAGTTGATATTCTGTCCTATCGAGAGAAATTCATTTCAGGCCGTATCGATTACGCACGTATTTTAATCCTAAAGAGAGAACCAGTTAATATCGTCCTCATTGTCAGTTTCAAATTTTTATAATACCTTCGTTGTAATGAGAACATTTCTTTACATAATTAATACCACGTGTAGTAATACTCTTTAAATTATTCACATAAAATTTCACAAAAAATTTAATTTTATTTAATATTTCCAATTATATACATTATACAATCTAATGACATAAATCAAACGTAAACTATTTGCATCCATACTTATTCCTATTCACTTATAATATCCTTTGCTTTTAAATTATACTCCTGTTTATTTATATGCACAAACAAAAATCATCCAGTATACAAACCATAGAATATTTATATCCTATATCCATTTATCTATTTTTAATTACTTTTAAAAATATCGTGCGCCGAGTTTTTCGTCAATTTCCACTCGACGAAAGACTCAAAGCACAATATTCAAAGCTTCTCGAAATGTAACATGACATAATGATGACGTTAATGTTACAAAGATATTACAAGGAGTTATGTGAAGCACGCTCTTTCTCTTCCTCGTCTCTATTGTCCACATTCCCTGTCGTCCTTTCGACATAGCCACCGCGAAATAGCATCGTCCGCGTGCCAGAACTTTATTCTTGCAGGGGTCAGATAAACCGCAGCTCGCAACACATGCGTGAGGATATTCGTCTGCTAATTGTAAGTGTAGCAGAATCTTATTGCGCGCGATATATCTTCCGTAAACTTCATAAAGTGTTTTGCAAAGCGATATGCAAAGAAAAACTTTGCTATTGCAATATATACATAATTATAAGTGAGAAACGTGACTTAAGAGCGGTGTCTTACAAATCTTACTAAACTGAATTTTACAGATTACGCAGGCTTGAGTAATTCTATAGCTCCAAGCTTAGCATGTAGAAAGATTTAAATCCATATAACATGATTTTATCAAGTTAGGATTCAACATTATGACTCGACACTTCGTATCCGTTTTAATTTCCATCGATGAGGACTCGAAATTTCGTAATAAAGTCGCAAAAGGGGTAAACGACGAGCATCATTTGATTTAAGGTATAAAGCGAGGCTGGAATCGCGGCGGGAAGGAAAAGTGGACGAAAGTGCCTCTTGTCATTCGCCGATTCAGCAGCATCCGTCCGTGATCCACGAGGGTTCGCATCATTGTTTCGGAAGAACGTTACGCCTTGTTACATCACAATCTTGTGAGATTGTATGCGCATTTTATTCCCGATTTTCAAACGGTTCAAACTGTATAAAGTTTCGAGTGATAGCGATAGAACGTAGGCCACATTTTGTTTATCGAAATTGGAAAAACCTGTCCTATCATAAAAAATAACCATGAGGAAAGAAATTTTAATGCTCGAGAATCAATTGTCAATATAAAATAATTGCAAATAAAATAATCGAATAATTGTATCAATAAATTATCAATTAATTTTTAGTATGTAATGATTAATTGTTAACGAATAATACAATTATACAATGCGAGTCAATACAAACATAAAGTGAGAAATTCGAAGATCTACTTGTAGGACTCAAAGGCTTGTAAAAAGACACCACGACACCATAACTCAGTTTACAGTTTGATTTAAAAATTTAATTATAAAGTTTAAAGAGTTAATAAATTTTTATATTGTAAAACAAAAGAATCAAAGAAATAGGCATTATAATCTATTAAGAATAAATTTTTGTTTTTTTATGTCTTATCAAATATTATATAAACTTTATAATTTTTAAAATGCAAACCAAACAGAAAGTATTTCTTTTTCTTTGACAGTGTATTGACGTAAAAATATTATTACTTGTAAGAAATTTTGATCACGCTTTTTAATTATCTACAAAAATGTAATGTATTAAATTGAAGGGATGTCTGCATGTGTATTTTGAATATAGCATTGATTATGTAGAGAATTCACGGATAGCAAATTTTTGCAAAATTATCTCATTATCTGCGTTATTATTATAGCCTAAGCTTGGTTATTTTTGTTTTCAATAGTCTAATATTACCACATTTTTATCGTTGCAATTGTTTATCAAACACATAAAGAACTTTTTATTATTTACTATAAAATCATTATATTATTAATTCTTAAAATATCGTTATTATTTGGTTAAAACATGCAAAAGCAATTTACAATTATACTTATTGTTACAATTGGATGGCTTATGAAAAGATGTGTTTCTGGATGATCGACGTTTGTATGCATGAATAATAACTTGCTAAATATGCTCGATTAAGTTCAAAGAGTAATTAGATTTCCTATGATGGCTGCCTCAAAATCTGCTCTTCAAATATTCAGATGCTTTTCACGATCTACGCGTACGTTTATAATTGCTTAAGATGCATCTTTGAGTTTCATGCATCAGAAGCGCTGGCTTTGATATACAGCAATTTTTATTCAAGATGCAAAACGTTTGTGAATACGGAGTATAAAACAATGATTACATTAAATGAGTTAAAAGCGACCCGAATAATAAACAGTACTATAGTTTTTTTATACGGGATAGAGCATTATTCGAGAATAATTTTTCGTTTCATACGTTACCCGAGTTTTTAAAATGATCTTAATTAAAACAATTAGATGTAATTTAATAATATAGAAAAAGGCATTAAAATTATAATTAAAAATTGATGCAATTATAGTTATTTTTGACAATTTGATTTATATGTCAACATATTTTAATTATCTAACAATTCTTCGTATAATTGCAAATTGCTAATTAATTACGAAGATTGACATATTAAAAAAAAAAACGTATCATAAAAAATTGAGAGTTCTATATGTATATATTTGATAGCTCGCCTGATATAATTAAGAGTTCTATGTGATAGCGCGCTTTATATATATTTCAAATATATCATAAAATAATTAAAAATATAATTGTTTTTTATTAATTAATAATTAATAATTTTAACATTTTTTTATTTTTTATTTTAAGCGTGCAAATATGTTCACATTTTTAATATTTGCATCAATGATCTGCTTCAAGATTACTTTAAAATAAAATATAAAAGCAACGAGAAATACATGTACAAAAAAAAGAATCTTTTCGGGTGACAATATGCGCTGTTTATTATAAAATATATATAAAATAAAAATGTGTGCATTTAAGAGATGCGTGTCTTCTACAAGTGTCGTAAAGTGCAATGATCTTCGCTATGATAATTCGTCAACAATTACTCACAATGATAGTTCCTTTGGTGTCATCTTCGATATTGATTGACGATCTTTCGTTCCACTTGAAATTGTCAAAGATATTCTCGTATCTGTCGATGATGCCGATGAGTTTAACACTCGTCACGAGGTGCTACAGACCATTGCGGCGGCCGCGTGGATCTTCCTGCCGCGAACCCCCTAAGACACGGAGTTTCAAGCGGAGTCGCGACGCGCAAGCCCCGAAATCACGCCGATCGTATATATTCGCGCTTATAATCCTTTAACGCCATACGTGTTCGCGACGATCGCACGATAAACTTGCGATTTGAATAATTGGCAGTTTAATCAATTTTTAATCCTCCTCACATCTATATCGTATACCCGTATGGTTACGGGGAATAATTTCAAAGCCATAATAAACGGAAAGTTTATACTACTTATCACACACGTGCTTTTCTTGGCTTAATGATAATTTTGGGAAACTTGAAAACGAAGATTTTAATGTCGAAAATTTTCACGTTTTACATAGACTAAAGGGAAAGGATTTTTTATACTCATTAAATCTTAGTTAAATAGAAACGTTGTATTTGAAAATATCTCTCTATCTTTCTCCTTTTAACTTTATATAAGAAGTAAATATTCCGTTTTTAATAAGATTTTATTTTATCAGGAAAATATAACAAAAAATTTTCTTTTATATTTTAATGCGCACATTATTTCTAATTATTGTAATGTTATTAAATCGTACAAGGTGTCAGAAACTAACCGCATTTGATTCTGTGACGATCCAAAGTATACCTGCAATCAACGAGTTTTCACACGTCACTATTCTCGTCAAATCACATTAAACTTCGAGCATCTACCAAATTTAAACACGTTAATTAGGAAGTTTCCGGGCGTGTTTCTGATCGTGTCATGTTTCAGCTAGGCTGTGTTGTATTTAGAAGGATTGCTTTCATTTACATCAAGTGCGAAAATTATATGGAGAATAATCAAGAGCAACGCTAAACTGCACGAAGTCTGCGGATCTTATGAACGTGCAATTAAAACAACCGAAATACATTATATATCATATTACAGAAATATAATACCCATGTACTGATAATGTAATTCATCAAAATTCTTGATTTATATGATAATAATATAAATCATACATATATATAGACAAATTAATAACTAGCAAAATTTAATATATTCTTAAAAATACACAATATTTTTTCACTTTTCTCTGCGATATATATTTATTAAGATAATATTTAAAATGTATGCTTCTCCCCCCCCCTCTCTCTCTCCCTCTCTCCCTCTTTGAAAGTTTTACATTTTGCAAAAATTGAGTTTTGCAGAAGCAATCTTTTATTTGGAAACAGCCGCTGCGAAGATACGATGTCGTGATTTCTCACTCAAGTTTTCTCGCGGACATTTCGAAACTGATCAAAACGCGTCTTCCAAGACGCCGGGTGTTGAAATGATTTCCGACTAACATCGATGTTGCCGACAGGAAGACTCTTATCGCCCTTCGCGAAGGTAAGTGAACCTATTCCGCCGGCGGCACGATGGATGTTTTTTTACTTATCGATTATGAATCTAGCCGCTATTACTCTATCATGCTGTCGTATATGGGATGTTTTGCAGTTAGCAAAAACGTCAAAGGGAGATTCCCCTAAATTTCCTAAATTTGAGGATAGATAAGGAGAACACGCACTAATAATTTCTAAATAAATTTTTACAGATTCAAGCAAAGCCAACAGAATCTCATTTTTCATTTAATTCCAGGCATATTAGTCATTAAGCATATTTAGCATTAAAAATTAAAATATGTTGTAATAAAGCTTTTATTACAATAATTTTTGTTCGAGATTTTAATAAATAATCTGTTTTTAATGTTAGCCGCAAATCACTCTGTATACTCTTGAAAAGTGCCCCAAATCTCGACAATTCACTTATCGGATAGCTTTGTCGTGGTAATGTGTGTGATATGACGCGGAAGTGAATCTTCATTAATGCTTAGTCGAGCGCCTATTAATTTGATCTTATCTCCGCGTCTACTTTTTACTCTTATTTTTTAAAAGAGTCGCATTTAAAAATGCTATTTCCATTAAGATGTTACGAAAATTCCGTTCGAGACCGCTTGCGAATTTTTGCCTATTTTTTATATTATATATTAGATTATTATTATTAGAGATAATAATACATGTAAAAAAGGAGTAGCTTGATTGTGTGAGAAATATGAAATTTGTACTGTAAAAAAGTATTTTGCTTTTCTTCCCCAAACATTAGTTTTTCACATCAAAGCTTCGTCGTGTCTTCGTGTTAGGAATAGCTGATCAGTTTTTGTCGTTCATCGCAAAATAAATATCGATAATTTCTGATTTTTTCCGCATTACAACTCTCGAAGGTTAATGATATGTTCTGCCTTTTGTTCTAAGGATATTGGATGAATCTATCTAAGAAGAGGAGATGAGTGTTAATGGTGATGATGATGATGATCGGCTTGCTCTGAAAATCCGATCGCTGGCTGTATGTCACTAGGTCGTCCTAAATAGAGGGTATAGCGAGATAGGTATACCGTGCATGCGCGCAAGTCGCGGGGAAAGCCCGGGGAATGGTGACGAAAGACGAGGAGGAATTCTCGGAGGAGCAAAAGAGAGAAGCATCGAGGCAATCCAAGAGAACAGGCGCAGGAAGAGAGGGAGAAGAGGGAGATCGGATGCGAGGAAACGGGCAGAGGAAACATTCGGGGTGGAACGGGGCGATTGCACGTGAAAAAGTAGATGCGAGCGAGAGGGATGGAAGACCCGCGAAAACGAGAGCGTTGAAAGAGGGTGGGCCGGGAGAGAGAAGAGGGTGGGAGTGATAGAGATAGCAACCAGCACGTTGGCAGATAGAAGCGAGAGAATGATTTCTGGAGTGAACAGGAGAGAGCGGGAGAAAGAGAAAGAACGCATTCGCGATGAGGGAGGGAGAAAGAGAGACAGAGAGAGAATCTGAAGAGAGAAATCGACAGTGGATCCGCGTTAGCTACCGAGGGATGAAAGGCAGCAAACTCCGCGAGGCTAGTGGCGCACGAGAATACCTCGCGCTTTCGTATCTGCCAGAGAACGTTGACGACGTCAACGTCGACGACGAGGACGATAACGTGGACGAGAACGAGGAGTGATGCTGACAATGAGCAACGATCAATGACGAGCTCGTGACAACGCGTTCGGGGTCGCAAATTCGACCGCGTCTCGAGAAGCGGTAACGCCGGGTCCTGTGAACGCTGATAACAGTGAACCCCCGTGTACGCTAATAACGGCGGGCCGATATTCGAAAAATCGATCCTGCCCTGCGATCGATTTCGAGTTATGATAATGGACCCAAGTGCGCGTTAGCGATAACTCTAGTCGATAACGTGATAATCAGTGTAATATTCCGATATTTTCATCAAATTGACAATGAAATCGTCGCCCGCATCGTGATTTTCGTCGGATGCATCAGGTAAATGTCTATGTATAATAATATATCTAAATATGTATAATAATATATATAAACCTAAATTGTAAATAATAAATTTATTAGCAAAATGTGAAAAATTAATTTTAATTCTAATCTTTTTATACAGATCGAGTTACGGATCTTTGTACTTTAATGGATTATGCTTTCCAATAAGCCAATAACATTAGATCAAAATTTGAAATATAACAAGGAACGTCACATGTTACTAAATATCATTGAAATAATATTGTATTGTTGACTTTCGGCTTATTATATTATTGTCTATATTTGTAACGATTGAAACGACTTGCATTTTCGATTTCCGAAAAAATGTTTCTCTTAAAAAAAATTCGTAAATAAATTTCTCATTTAATTTTTAATTAAAAATATGATAATCAAGTTAATATATAAATTAATAAATAAAGTATCTAGTAATATTTTTATTTTTATTTGTAGTATAAATAGTTTAATATTATTTATACTATCTATTTTGTTATATTGTGTCTATGATGTACGATTAAATCTAATTTTTATTGTACATTTTGATGCAATTATTCGGAAAATTAATCATTAAATATAAAATATTAATGAGAAGATTAAAATATTTATATGATATTGAAGCAGTGCACAATAAAAAGAATTTTATTTAATTTTTTTATATTGGAGAACTAAGAAACTGCTTTACATTGCACTCGAGTAAAATAATAATTATGTAAGGTATCACGTGCGTAAAATATTCCCTGTCGTCAATATAAAACGCAAACATTAATAAAGCCAACCGAAGGAAGGGAAAAAAAATCCTCCCGTCATTATTTATAGTGTCTCGTGACTAACAAGATTTTCTTCATCTTGATTGCCTCAGGGAATAATTGTATCAAGAGAGTATACAATATTGTATAGAGTATATTTCTCATAACTTTTTTTTTTATTGTTTAATGCATTCATCGAGTTTACGGAAGCGAAAATCGGCTCTGTTCGTGCGCGATCTTTGAATGGAAAGTGAATAATGTGTTGTAGCACAGGCGATATGTAGAGCGTGTTATACGAGATTTTTATTTCGCGAGATACAGTACGCCATTGTAATGCTTTATCTCATGCCGGCCCATTTTGTTGTTTTACTCTTTGATCTGATCAATCACTAGAATAATATAGAGTTATATGTATATATAATTTTTAATCAATCAATTTTCTACATACCCGAAAATTTAAAAAAAAATATATATATAAAATATTACCTTAGAACTGAAATACATCAGAAAAACATATCTTATTTTTATGTTCCTTTATTTTTATTGCATTTCTTGATTAACGTCAAGTATCAAAACCTTCATCACTTTCCGTTTGTAAACTTATATATCAAGCGCATTTATTACCATATTATAAAGATGAAACACTGTCAATACATCGTTTAAAAATATATAGCTATCCATTTTATTTTATTATTCTTCTTATCAATTTTTATCGCTCTACTACATATATATACCGTATAGATGAGAAAAAAAGAGAGAAGCCAAGTTTATAAGTAATACATATTTTTGTCATAAAATTTAATTAAATTTATATTAATTCCCCCCCCCTCCCTCAGGAGTGGTATGTATGGGGTATGTATATATATTGATAAGTTAAATCTTCCATATCTCTCTCGTCACACATGTAAGAGTTAAACCGGGTAAAATTTATTGGATGCGGGAAGTTTTTATATATGTTTGTTCTGCGTGCGGGATAACTCGAGGGTGCGTAGAGTGAGTACGCGTGGGACTGGCATACGAGGATTACGAGGGTCAAGGGCGGCAAGGAGAGTCGTACAGGGTCTTCCCTTTTATCTGCGATTTTAGAACGACGGCGGCGGCGGCGAGCCGGTTACGGGGATGTCGAGGGGATGCGAGGATATCGCGAGATGACGTTCTCCTCCGCGCTCGTCATTAACTGACGTAATCTCGATCGGATAACGAAGACGATTGGCAGGATGCTGCTGCGCGGGCTGCCGTTGATCGTCTTCCTCCTCGTGCAGCTGCGTCACCGTGTCATCTGGTGAGCACCGTCATCCGAATTTTCCCCCTAGTATGAAAAATCGCGGCAGATAATAACGCGGATGCTTTTCCCGCGTTGCCCACACATTGTAAGGCACACGTGACGCGAATGCGCAAGGAATACGATTTCAATCTCCTATCCGTAAGCGTATTCAGATACACGCACGAGACAAGGAAAATTTTTTTGTGTATAAATGTGATATGTAAATTATTTTTAAATGAAACAAATTAAAATAAGTAAAAAGAAGAGAAATATTATATATAAAATAAACAGGAGTCTAAAAATATATATCATTAAAAAATAAAATCGTCAATCTCATAATTCAAATAATAAATTCATTGTTGCGAATTTTTTAATGAATGAGACGATTTTTCAGACTCGTTCGTTTAAGAAACCTCAAGCTCGAAGAAATTATTTCCAAAGTACTCTCTAACAAATCAAACATCTAATATAAGAATCTACAGCGCAATTGTGAAAGTTAAAAAGTTAAAATAAAGATTAAATTATTATCTTAATTAATTATATTATAAACTAACTGAGGATAACTCAATTAAAGATATATACAAATGCAACAGAAGGGAGCTAATATATATATATATAGCAATAAAATGACAATTAAATACAAAAGGAAATAATTAAATACCTGAATTAAGCCCGAGGCGTGCAACACAAGCGATTGTTTGGGTAATCAGAGCTCCAATCAGCCCGCTGTACACAACAAGAGACAACAAAGCTCCATTTTCCGGGCAAAAGACAAACCTGATAATCCTCTCTAAATAATGTCGGTTTTGAAACCATTTCATCTGATCTTCTCGCGATTTGAAAAATGTTTCCTTAATTACTTGTAATAATAAAAAATATTACAACCACGAGTAAAATGATCACTAAGGACCAGACCAAGTCGACAGTGCCCGAATTAGACAATGGAAATAATTTCGTGATGCGTGATATTATCTCGTTTCTATCCATAATTCTTCGTTTAATAATTCGTTTAATAAATTATATTAACTTCTATATCGTTCGATATTGTTTCATTCTTCGATGTTATTCATGTTTCCGTTATATCGTTGTATATTTGCGTATCACGTCACAATTCACATTTATGTTATTTGTGTTTTAGATAAAAATATAATTTATCACTATATAAAAATATTTGAGAGAGAAACGTAGATCTCTTGGATGTAAATAATCATTTTTGTATCATATTACGGAGAAATATATATTTTTTAGATTTTTGTCGCCATGTTTAAACGAAATGAACGTCGAAGATGTAAATGTTTCGATGCAAACTTCAAAAAGTGAAACTTCTAATTGAAATTATCCTAATATCGAGAATTTATATAATTTCATCACACAATCGATACATTTTTATTAATATTAAAATATATTAATATTAAATGTATTAATATTAAAAATTTGAGTTATGTGTATGTGATAAAAGAACTATCTCTAATCTATTTTTTATAATATTATTATATAATACATATTTTTTTAAGAAACCTGATTTAATGTATTATACTTTATCAAGGATATTTCAACAATTTTAAACTACTTTATCAAGCTATTTTCCATATTTTGAAACTTCATACTTTACAGGGCTTCCCTAGAGAGTATCGGGATGTCCGATAGACTGGAGAACGTTACGCAGACGATTTCGAGGATACTCGACGGCTATGATATTCGATTAAGGCCAAACTTTGGTGGTGAGCTCTAGCTTTCTAGATTTTTGCACGTTTTGTTGAAAATTATCCAGTTGAAATTAAATATGTTTGTTACAAGCACACAATAATATGCGTGCTCTTATGTTACATTACTCTAATAAAAAAAGGAGCTATATGTTATATATATTCAAAAAATTAATAAAACACTGTAATTAAACTATATAATTAGAAAATATAAACGATATAATTAAGATTATATTTATTAAGATTGATATAATATGTTTTCTAAAAACATAATATAAAAAAAAATATATATATATATATATATATTATACTTAAAATGGACTTTGGGAAACTATTCACATTTAGATATCGAGCTATATTTGACAGAACTAAATTCTAGAATAAAGCTGTTCGCCTGATGGTAGAGAAAGATGTAACGCTAGAAAAGCTTTTAATGAAGTTTTCCAGCCCATTCAACGAAGCACGATCGCAATCAGCGCTTTTAATCGAACGTGCAACGAGGGGAAGTAATTTGCCAATATTATCATCAGGATTAGAAAAAGGCTTTAATCTATTTCTTTATTCATTTAATGGCTCCCTGTTGCGAACAATTAAAAAAAAAGGAATTAGGATGCTCACTTCTCTCTCTCTCTCTCTCTCTCTCTCTCTCTCTCTTTGTATACACAAAAGATGTTTCAATATTTAATGAGAGATTATTATTTAAAGGTGATCCATTATTAGTCGGGATGGATCTCACCATTGCAAGTTTCGATGCGATCTCAGAAGTCAATATGGTAAGAAAATAAAGAAAAAAAATATAATATATGTTTAAACAGTAGACATTTTTTTTTTAGTGCAAGATTTTTATATAGTCTATTTTTTTAACATTTTTAGAAAAATAATATAAATTTGATATCCTTTTTCAACTTTAAACTTAATTTTTTAGTATCAATTTGTATCGAAGAATTAAATTAAATTGTAACAAAAATTTGACACATCTTAAAAACGTAAATCTATCCAATTTATATGTAAATTTATTTCTAAATTTTATTATTATTATCATTCATTATAAACTTATACAAATGTACATCATCAAGACCTCTGTTAAAAATATTACATATATGAATCTTGATAACACAAAACTTCTCTTACAACCTAACATTCATAACATTTTTATCGTCATTCTCAAATCGATTCTTACCTTGAGGCCTCTGATAAACTGCGTTAGACTGTCGACAAAGTTTCCCTTTTTCCTCCATCCTCTTGAATATCGGCTCTATTGATAGTCTTCGAGCAATATCTCTTCCGCAGAAAGAATCTTCTTATAAACTGCATGATAAATAACTGTAAAAAGTCTTGAGAACAATTATGGCATATAAACATTTAATAATTATGTATAAGATATAATAAAATATATCAATTCTTTTCATAATTAATTATAATAATAAATTACATTGATGTCGTTATCTGCGCCTCAGGATTATACGATAACGATGTACTTAAATCAATACTGGAAGGACGAGAGACTCGCTTTTTCGCATGAGGACGAAGTCTTGACGTTAAGCGGTGATTTCGCGGAAAAGATTTGGGTCCCGGATACGTTTTTCGCAAACGATAAAAACAGGTAATTGCGGCAAGGCATAACTCATGAGTAACGCTTCAAAAACTTGCTGATTATTCGTACCATACCATTTTATCGTGTTTTGAATTCCCATTTTCCTTTATCGCGAATTGTGTTTTAGCATATTGTTTTACTGAACTGGTTTCACCTGTTTGCAGCTTTCTGCATGACGTCACCGAGCGCAACAAACTCGTCAGATTATCGGGTGACGGTTCGGTCACATACGGCATGAGATTCACAACAACGTTAGCCTGCATGATGGATCTGCATTATTATCCTCTCGATTCACAGAATTGCACCGTCGAAATCGAGAGTTGTATGTATATATTGGGATATGTATCTAATATAATCGATCATTCGAACATATAACATTCATCAAACTTTTCTTTTTTTTTCTTTCATAAAAAAAGCGACATTTTATATATATAATACATAAAAAGATATACACATACATACATATCTCTCCTATACATTTATTTAAATTAAATTCTTCTATAGATTTATATCTAAAAATTATAATTATTAAATTTGGAATAATGTTGTTTAGAAATCTTAGAATATATGTAATAAAACGCCTATGAAACAAATTATTTGAATACTGATCAATAAATGAGAAAAACGCAAGAAGATCCAATAAAATATAATTTGTATGCCCCCTTCTAAACTATTCTATTTTAAATATTCAGATGGCTATACAGTTCTCGACGTAGTAATGTACTGGAAAGAAACTCCCGTTCGCGGAGTCGAGGAAGCGGAATTGCCACAATTTACGATAATCGGCTACGAGACCAACGATCGAAAGGAGAAGTTGGCAACAGGCATCTATCAGAGACTCTCGCTGAGCTTTAAATTACAAAGGAACATCGGTTATTTCGTTTTTCAGACATACCTGCCGAGTATACTGATCGTGATGCTTAGCTGGGTCAGCTTCTGGATCAATCATGAAGCTACTAGCGCAAGAGTAGCTCTCGGTAAAATTGGGATAAAATTCCGTTTTTATTAAAACATTAGCCTTATTATACCTGATTAATTTTTTTTTTTAATTAATTATTTATGAACTGTTTTTT